CTGTAGGCCCTGTCAGAAGGAAGCTTCCAGGCAAGAGCCTGGAAGTTTCCCTGTAGGGAAACAGGTTGGGGCCTGTACAGCATGTAACAGAAACCCTCATCATGCCTGTATCAAGCCGGGAAATAGTTAACATGCGTTCATGATGTTCACGGTATATTGTCTTCGAGGTTCAAACTTCCACGATCAATATTCAAACATCGAGGTTCAAAGATCGAGGTTCAAACATCGAGGTCCAAGACTCCAGAGTCCAAACATATCCCAGTCCAAACTTTTTAATCCAAAGTTAAAATTTCGCGGTTCAATCTTGAAGATCAAAGTTCAAACATCCAGGTCCAAACTTTGGGGTCCACCCGGTAGCGGACCTGTTCCCTGCTCTTCTCCCAGATGCAATCTATGGCCTTGGAACACACCCTTCAGGCCTCAGATCACCAAACACGTCATTATATTTTAACATTTACAACCTCCCTCCCTCTCTCCCTCCCTCCCTCTCCTCTCCACCCCGTCCCCCAGGGTCAATGTCTCAAGTAGGGAACAGGACGACAAACCATTGCATGGTGTCCTCTGATCAGGGAACCAAAAGCAAGTAGCCAGTACAAGTAGAATCTGCTTCCCTACAAACGATTGGCTGATTGATCGAACATATTTGGAACAAAAGGGTTTAGCCACACCATGGTGCACGTCCTGTCTGACAGTCTTTCCTGCCCACAAGATCCCCGAGACTATAGAGCACATTTTCCTACAATGTCCAGGGGCGATCCTCACTTGGCGCTGGAGGGATAGGATTTGGAGGTCACTGGGCACAGAGTCTGAATGGCCATGGGACTGGAGAGCGCTTCTGTGTGAAACATGGCTCTCCTCTATGAACAACACTTTTGAAGAGAAAATGTTCAAGCTTGGGAGGAGGGCCGTTGTTTGGGCTCTTTGGAGAAAACGGTGCATATTATGTATTGAAAAAGTAAGATAAATGACTGAGCTCATCAAACATTAAGTTCAGGATGAACTTACAATACAATGGCAGACAGTGAAAGCTAAATTGGATCAAACTCATACCAAAAGTACATAACACACGCTATCGAGCAATTCTCAAGGGATTGTTTGGGAAGTGACCAAGGGGGTAGAGGAGCTTATGTCCGTTGGGAAGGAGGCAGTCTCCCAGAATGAGGAGAGGAGGAGGATAATATGAGACGGGATTACATCATCTGCTTTAATGACTGAACTAAGGTGGATGCAGGAATACCGCTGAGCTCCCCCTTGGACTTCCCCGACCCCTTTCCGCCTCATGGTCTATCAATGGTGGATCTCCAGTGGTATGGACTAGGGTGAGGGAGAGGTAGGCACAGCGAAGGCTGCAACTGCAGGAAGAAGGGGGCTAGATGGTCACATAGTTTGGGCGCCCAGAAGCAGGGCTGAAGAGACCCCCTTCTCCTCCCTAGTTGAGTGCTCACCCGCCTGCTCAGTCAATCCCCTGTCTCGAGGGTAATCAATGCTGGCAGGTTGGAAGACAGTCAGAAACAACTCAGTGCGATTGAAATGGTTTTTGTTTAAGGGACGCTGGACCCGATTTCCAGCAGGTGTTGCTCCCCACCAATAGATGGAGCCTTCCCGGGGGAGATAGAGGTGTCTGCTCGTACCAGCACCCCTAGCTCCTGTACGGATAGTTCCCAAAAAAAAAAAAAAAAAAAGAAAAGAAAGAAAGAAAATCTGTTTCCATTGAGCCTGAGGGTGCAGATGACTTACGCGCCACGACTCCCCTTTCACTCTCAGTCTCACAACTTCAAGACTTCCAAGGTCTTAGTTCAAACTTCAAAGCTCAAAGTTCAAACAGCTGACCTATGGTCATGTTAGCAATAATATTGATTAACTAACGGTGTGCAGGAATTGATTTTCAGAACATGTCAGATTTAATTTAACAATCATTTCAATGACTGAGCAGAATGGATAATCAAATAATCCGGTGGGGGGCGTTGGAGGGGGTACACAGAGCGGTTGGAGTGGTAAATGAATGAGGATGAGTATAAGAATAGAAAACCATAGGTGCAAGGCTGAAAGCAAGAATGGGATAACTGGTGGAAGAAGGTAAGAAAAACTGAGTCTTTGTTTTTTCTTTTTTTCTTTCCTTATTTACCTCTTCCTGGACTCTTGCCGTAATCGAAAGTCCCTTCACGTACTCCAAGAGAGCAAGCTCCTCCCCCGGACTGGATGCACGCCCACATTCCGCCATGCAAAGACAAAAAAACACTCAGTCCGCATTGACTTGTTTTCGTGACCTTTTTGAGTTTGTGGATCCTTCCAACCACCGACGCAAAAAAACAAGATTTTTTTTTTTTTTTAAACTGCGTACGGAACTGGGCCGCCCGGCCGACCAGCGCCTGCCCGGGGCTCCCCCGGGCCAGCCTGGCCGGGCGGGCGGCCCGGTTGGGGGCCGGGCACCCCCAGCACACCTTGTCGGGTGGGGGGTTCAGACCCCGAATCGCCGTGAGCTGGTGTCCCCAGGCCCTACCGGGTCTGACCAGGCCTGAAAAAAGGCGCGTCGGGCCCGTGAGGCCAGCTTTCTTTTTTTGAAATTGTGACGGCCCTCCGGCCGTCGATCATCCATGATCGACGGCCAGAGGGCCGTTTGATGTTTGGAGGGAAAACGACGACCCATTTGAACAGCCGACTGGCTGCGGCGGCCTGCATCGGCTGTCCAAACGGGGCCTTGGTCTTCCCCCGCCGGCGCAGTTCGTGGTTCAGCCGCCCGTCGTCGTGGAGCCGCCTGTTGTCTCCCCCGTCGTCGTGGAGCCGCCCGTCGCCATCGCCTGGGAGCTTCACTCCCCCGTCGCCGTGAAGCCGCCCATCGCCCGTCGCCAGCGTCTTGGAGTCGCCAGCGCCGTGGAGCCGCCCGTCGCCGTGGAGCCGCCCGTCCCCCTCTCATCATCATCATCATCTTCTTCTTCTTCTTCTTCTTCTTCTTCTTCCTCTCTCCTCCTCCTCCTCTTCCGACTATCTTCTTTTTCTTTTTTTTTTTGTTCCGTTCGTCAGCGATAGGTCGCGAGATAAATGACAGGTAAGAAAAAAAAAAAGAA